CCCCCCCCTCGGCCTCCTTTTAACCAAGTGACACAGAACACGTGAATTTGATTTCCGAGTGTGATATTTTTAAAATCCAACAATCTTTCACCGCTTTTTTTTTGACAGGTTGGCCCTGACAGACAGGGTTGAAGCGGCCCCCTTCCTAAAAGATCAAGATTGTGTCGATGGGGGCTTTAAAAAAAACCTTATGATTTATAACAATAATGCTTGCGCACTTCTCTCGATTTTAAAAGCTTGTAGTTGACAACACCTAAAGGATTTATTTTAAATTTTTTTAGATGAGGGTGGGGTGGGATCCTTTATTTGTGGGTGGGGGGTAGGGGGGGATGCTTTCTTCTCTCCTTTCCCGTTCTCATCACCCTGTTCCTCTAATGCCCAGATGAGACAGAGGGGTTACGGTGAAGTGTGGCTTTCACCCTAACCCCCCCCCCCCTTCCACCTTTTCCATATAAAAAGGTCTTTCTGGGTTCCGTGGGATTTTCAACGAAAGCCAGCTAAACCACACCAAGCAGAATTAATGTACTTACTTTTACTTTTATCCGCCGCTTATTTATACCCTTTTGGGTGTCGCGGGAAGAAAGAGACGTCTCTCTGTCGCCAGCCGGAGAGCTTAGGTCCGGGGGATGCCATGAGTGGAATTAATGTACAATGTGTGATAATCATTAATGATTTATCGTTTGCCTTTGTTCTACTTTGTTCTGTCTCTCCAACAGGGAATCATTCAGAGCATAATCCAGCGCTACCTGTACGACATACAGAGGGAGAGTGAAGTCTCTGGAGGTAAGTCTGACCATTCCGCTGCTTTACCTCCCTCCCCCCTCCACACACCTTCTCGTCTGTCTGTCTGTCTGTCTGTCTCTATTTGTTTATTTCTCTCTCTCTTTCCCTATCTCTTTCTCTCTTTCTCTGTGTGTCTCTTCCTCCCTTCCTCTTTCTGTCTGTCTGTCTGTCTGTCTGTCTGTCTGTCTGTCTGTCTGTCTGTCTGTCTGTGGTTGTGTCTGTGGTTGTGTCTGTGTGTGTGTGTGTGTGTGTCTGTCTGTCCGTCTGTCTATCTGTTTCGCTCTCTCTCTCTCTCTCTCTCTCTTCTCTCTCTCTCTCTCTCTCTCTCTCTCTCTCTCTCTCTCTCTCTCTCTCTCTCTCTCTCTCTCTCTCTCTCTCTCTTTCTTACTGGTGACAAATCAAGGTTTTAAACTCTTGTACTTGTATGCTCCCTCCCCAAAAATAGAAAGAATGGAAAACTAAAAAAACACATCATATCTTTTTCATATCTCCCCCCCCCCTCATTTCACTCTTTTGTTCTAAAAATGATGAATCAATGACCTTCTCTTTGCAGACATTTTGTGTCGATATTTGCCCGACATAGCTAAATAAAGCCGAGCCTTAATGTTTTTGTACCATCTTAGGCATGTCAATATGTCCTTCTTTTGGCGTTTTGTGCATACGCATTTACAGAAATAAAGAGAGAGGTAGGGAAAGAGAGAGAAATAGGGAAAGAGAGAGAGCGAGAGAGAGAGAAAGAGAGTGAGAAAAAGAGAGAGAGAGAGAGGGAGAGAGAGAGAGAGAGAGAGGGGGAGGAAGAGAGAGAGAGGGAGAGA